AAATGTATCAGTACAAGAAATGAAAATAGAATGTACACTACATGCATGCTTTTTGCTGGTCAGGATTTCTCCAAGGGGGGCTCACAATGTCAGCCCCCTGGCTACGTTTATGATTGTATGGGCATGCCCATGATCAGTATTGTCATGATAAAATAACGGTGCTATAGGTAGAAATTTGCGGAAAAACACGGAGTGCAGGCCCCTAGCTAATTTCAGTTTTTGAATAGTAGATTCGATGACAATGACAATGTATATGCATCGTAAGATTAGACGAGAATCACTGCACCTTCAATTTTAAACTGTATAAACTTGCAATTTAGTATTGTTATAGATAACTACAGTATAGAAGAGTAAATATATAATATATGTTATACATAGAGAGGTAAATTGTTTATTATTTATATGGTAAAAATTTAAGTACCAAAATATAGAAAATGCCAGAATAATATAATTCGTAGCAGCTATTAATGTAAAATTATTTTGTAAGAAAGCAAATTACCGAATCGGTGCAGTATACAATTATTAGAATTTATATATTTCGCTGAATTGTCAAAATCATGTAAGTAAAACAAAAACATTTCATGCCGAGTTTCTGTCAGCAATAGATTCACTAAAGCTTGTTTTGACATGCATACTTACACCATTTTAAACCGACTAAAATACTTAAAAAATTCGTCGGTAAAATATCTAAGTCGCATATAAGAGCCCGACAGCCAATATATAAAGTGTGTTTTGCATCGTTTAAAACAGCTTACTTGGAAATAAGGATTACAGTACGTGTTAGACAACGGATCAGCCGATGATGTTATTTTAAATGTAGCGCAAAATACCATTGACCTTTGGGTTTTTCGGGCGATTTTGCTTAAAAGGTAAAGAGCGGTTGGGGGTGATTATAAACTCAATTGTCTAATTTCTCTCCTCCTAAGCGGATTTGCGTGAGCAAGGCTTTCCAACAGCTTTGGAAAGCATCGTGATTGATGTACACTTCACATTTGGGTTCATCATTTGTTCATGACTCATCATGCAGCCGCAGTTGGCTAGCTAACCTTTACACGAAAGACATTGTTACTGTATAACGTTAAAGAAAGGTCGCTGTTACGAGTTGGAGAAAAGTTAAGGTATATTATATATTATGTCATCGGTTTTGTTTCGGTAGTAGGAGGAAGTTAAACAAGTCTATGGCGTTTTTTGTTTAACCTTGTTTAATTGTTAATTATTGTTAATTGTTATCACGATAGAGTTACTGAAAGTCAGATAGCGCACGAGCCATTGCAGGTTTACTAATACATATATACGCGCGCATAATGCGCATTCGTCAATTCGATTTCTATGCGCTATATTATATACGACAAACATCAGACTGTTTGTCATCGGGGTACAAAGAATACAAGAACATTGAATATAAATTTTGGAAAGACAAAGATGTCGGAACAATGAAAGGCCTGTAAGGGAGGGCAGACTCGTCCAAGGACACTTCGATTGATGTATAAATATTTTAAGTACTATTTAAAACACGAGTAGGAGTGCTTGTTCGGATATAAACACGAGACGAAAGGCGAGTGTTTTATATCTGATAAAGTATACGGACTGCGTGTGTTTCAAATGGCTTGAAAAACGACCCGTCTTATCTCTGACTTATGAGTTCATTGGCGAAGTAATTTTAAAAATCAACGTTGTCTATATATAAGCCGAGAAAATCCAAGCTAAAGTTTATATAAATTAACATGATTTTTTATCACATGTAAAACAACCGACACGGTATTGACTTCCTTCGTCTTTTCCTCATGAATTATTGATGAGGTTTTTAATATTATAATAAAGCCCATGCATGCACTGGGAAGAAACTAAGGTCTTCTACTGAGTTTAGCAACTCATGCAGTTTTATACATGCAGTTTTATACATACATTCCTGCACTATTTCTGGCAATCGATCCGCCATCATTGTTCCCTGTTATAATAATGAATATCTGAAGCTATATATATCAACTATAACATTAATTATCTCTCTAAAACCGCAGGGATCTCTTTACCCCCCCCCCCCCCAGCTTTCGCGCGGTACATGCTTAAGTGATGTAAACATATACTTATAGAAGCTATATATATCAAATGCGCGAGATCGCAATTTATTCACTCACATATTCATGTTCGCACTTGAAAATAATAATCAAGTCAATTGCCTGGAAATTTATTTAAATATTTTCCCGCGCCTATTACGTGATTTAGGTACTTGTCGTGTATTTTAAAAAGTTCGCAAACAATGCAATGCTGATCATTAACAGCATATATAGACACAGTCTGCATGAAATTATATGATGCTGTCACCAAGAAACCAATATGATAATGATATGACCAATTCTGGTCAAAATGAAAGGTCTTAATGAGGTCTTAAGGGTTCTTACGATACATTGATTTGTTTTGACCATAAAAGAGAAATAAGTTTTCAAATCATTGCCGAAAGCTAGGTTTTCGTGACTTATTTGTTATACGATGGTGTTAATTTAAATTGAGGTGATAATTTTAAATACTATAAACAATTTCATTCATTCACGAGATAATTTTTGATTACTTTCTAGTGACAAGTAAAATCGTATTAATAAACGTCGACATCGTTTATTTATGATTGATAAACTCAGGAATGAAATCAGAATTATAAGAATCATATATTGTCAGCCTTTTGGAATGCTACAAATGTTTGCGTCTATATAAATGTTTGTTATGAATGATTATAACGCGATGAAAGCTCTTTATACTGCAGGCCGATAGAGCCATGGTTTCGTAGTAAACAACAAAGTCAATAATCGTCATCATATATAGGGTCAACTATTATACGTCAAAGCATTTTTGGCATTTCTTGACCTTGGGTTAATTAACTACAAGTTGCGCTTTTTAAATTATGATTAAATATGCACGCAAATCTTGTTTTCTGTCAATGACGCAATGATTTTGCCACATTTCATTCAACCATCGCAAATGAAAGTGTTTATAGACGCATGAGTTAAACATCGTGTTTTTCTATGTTGAATTGTTTAAAGTTTGAAGACTGCGTGTGTTCCCAACGGCCTCGGGTTCTTTTTAATTTGAATTTCCTGCTTAAGCCAATTATAGCCACGTTGGGCTCCGTACGCACTATTGTACACATAAGTATTTTTTGCGTGGCCTGTCCAATTTGTCTTATTTTGGAACAGCACAAAATTAATGTTTGTTTAGCACTTTTGTAGAAAACAACTCAAGCCTTTCATATACATATCTATGTTATGAAGTACTATTTCAAGCACTTGTATAGTCGTGTTTTACCACATATAAAACACGACGCGTAGCGGAGTGTTTTATATGTGATAAAACACGACTACAAGTGCTTTAATTAAATGGCTTCAAAAACGACTCATCTTATATTCTTATACGAGTTCATTGGCGAAGTAATTTTTAAAATAAACTTTGTCTAAACCGAGAAAATCAAAGCTAAAGTTTATGTAAATTAACATGATTTTTTATCACATATAAAACCACGACACGCTTATGATTTTTCTTTGTGTTTTCCTCCTGAATTATTAATGAGTTTTTGAAAAATATTTAAAGATTTCAGAATCATTCCAAGAAATTAAAAAAAAGCATTTATGTAATTATGAACCAACAGGAAAATATATATATATATATATATATATGGTTAAGACCATAAATAGCATTCTCTTTATTTTCAATATCCATATTCAGACATTCAGACATTGAACACTTCAAATGAACACAAATCCTTCATATTAAGCTTCCGTAGCAACTGAAACACTTGTCAGACTCTTTGGATTTGTTTGTTTTTCAAACAGATTTAGCCACGCTATCGAACACCTATACACAGGAATCCCGCTGTCTCTCTTTTTCATAACCATCATCACGACATCACGAGAATAAACAAACAAATAAACTTGATTCAAACAGAGCCGTACCAATACTGCTACATATAGAATACAAAGCATATTAAATTTACACAGAGACTATAGATTAAAAATTAGAACTATATTTACTAGTTAGTATAATTGATCAAAATGGCAAAATTTGTTGGGACATCGAAGTAGTATTTGGCTACCAATGTCCACACGGATTTGCCCTTCATTGCAATAACATGCATAAACAAGTCATAATTATTAAAAGAACGAAACGAGTGATCTATTTAGTTAAGCTTATACTGGTAGAATCTGCTCTGGGATCAGTAAACTAGTTTGCATTATTGCACCGCATTAAATAGTTCATGCTGTCCGTTTCTGAACTCGTTTAATTAAATCGCACTGTAGACAAATTCTTTTATCGTATGAACATTGCTATATCGACCAGTTTTAACAAGTAATGTATCATGTATGAGCTGAATTTCAGAGCTTTGTAACAGCTTGACGAGAATATGATGTAATAGGTCATAGACATATATAGTCTGCAGATACGATGGTCTGGAAACCAGGCAAACTTCAAAGCTACAAAATATAGAAGACCTTTATTTGATGTTGAACTGTATACCTCACCTTACACAAATCCTTTCTCTCAACTTCGTTAAATATTATTCATCGTGGTTGCACGTTCTATCTTAGCTATCCCTATTGGAGGGTTACTGATTATATGGAAATACGATGAGCTCAATCACCGCGCGTGAGTCGTGACCGCGCACAAATTACTGATAAACTCAGACAAAAACATAACAGAATGCCTTCTATTAGTTTCCAGACCATTATATCTTGACAGACAAAGAATATAGGTTAACTAATTAAACAACAAGCAACAATTGACATTTGTGTAATAGACTAAATTTTGATCTAAACAAGTCTAGACAAAAATTTCATCACAGCTTGAAAGAGCATCACAAAATTGGTAATATTCCGAAGTTTCGTTGCGAAATGTTGTAAAATACGGATAATATAGCCTTGCGAAGTTTGCAATTTTCAGTCATTTTAGATTACAAACGGGAAATTGACAGCCCCAAAGGCTATTGGGCTGTCAATTTCCCGTTTGTAAGGCCACATAAAAAAAAATACTTGTTTAGCGTCCCCGCCCGACCTGATAAAAGTCCCCGACCTCCAATTTTTTCTTTTTTTTTTTTTAAATTTGTCCGAGTTTAGTGGAAAAACTCTATAAAAAAGACCGTTTTACTTGAAAAAATGGCGATTTTATTCTTCTGGGAGCTATGTAATACGTTTACACAAAGTTTCCTTCCCAGAATATGCCTGTTCGCAGCTAAAGTGTTCGCGCGTGACCGCCAAACGGTAATTTTCTGTTTTATTAAAAACATGAACGGTAAGTTAAAAAACATGAACGGATTTTGAAAGAATTAAAGTGAGTTTTGACTGTGGTAATATACTGGATTTCCTGCATTTAGCAGAATTTTGTGTTGCATTTTACGAAAAAAAAAAAAAAAAATCCGTCCGCCCGACCTAGAAAAATTAAAATGGGTGGACGCTAAACAAGTAATTTTTTTTATGTGGCCTTAAGTAGAGTTCCAAACTTAATATGAGATATCAAATAATAATAATAATAATAATTTATTCAAACAAGATCCCAATATTGGGACATAGAATACATGGGTAAATAACTAAATAAGTCGTTACGGTCTATAACAATAACATAGATATTAATATATATGAAAAAAAGTTGATAAATGTATAAATACACATACATACACACGCACACGTGAGTAATTAGACCAGGCTATCAAAAGCAGCCAAAACGTCGAAACAATATTTGCCTACTAACTTCATTATTGACTTATCCTTCATAGCCATAATATATATAAATAGGTTTTCCGAAGTAAATAAGTTGAAAAACCTATTTATTACATATAAATTATCAATGAATTTTGTCCTGAGGTCGATGAACTTCATGTTTGTACAAGACATTAAAAAGTGATGTTCATCTCCTACTTCATTTAACTCACAAAGTCTGCATAGTCTATCATTGTATGGGACATTGTTGTATCTACCAGTTTCAACAGTTAGCTTATGTGCTGATATTCTTAACTTTGTAACAGCTTGACGATATTTGAAATTACTAATTTCGTTTAAGTATTTTTCACATTCAAAGTGTTTTTTTATTTTTCTAAAAGTTCTTAGCTTGCCAGTATCAAATGACATGAAATAATTGAGGTAATACGCACCTTCGAAGGTATGATCACACAAGGTGATCTGATCACGCGTTCCACAAAGTCCACAAACCTTGATAAACGCGACCGATTACTTTGAACAGCTTTATTGCCTTGATTTTGATTCGAATCATCGCTCTCTGCAGGCGCTATATCTACAATAACAGGGTCAGCCATCTACTTCGTTTCAGAAACCTTTGCTTTGCTCCTTGAATCGCTGCATCCAAAATTTCTAAACACTTCAAGTCAAGGACCTCGCACTTGTTTACGAGTTAAAGGCGAGAACGAAACTACCTATACTTCCGATCGACTTAGAATTTATACATAGTCCGGGGGAATCACCATATTAGTGGGAAGTTCATTTCCATGTACAATGACATAATCGATGCTTGCGATACAAATGTCGACGTTATTATTGAACCCACGAACTCAGAGATGAAAGGCCTTCCTCTGACGACTGCGCCACCGACGCTCATAACAAACTGAAGTTGAAACTTTGATCCAAACGTAAACAGTCCATCTCATTCCACTTTGGCTGAAAGCTCGACGCTTGGGGAATCACCATATTAGTGGGAAATCACTGTGAAATCAATTCCATGTAAAATTACGTAATCGATGTTTGCGACACAGACGCGACAGTATACGCACTTTCTATACTCTCTATAATGAACATATAGATTATATATTTTAAAATGTCAACATTAAAGATTGAACTTGGTTCGGGTAATCTCAAAGGTTCATTTGGTTTCGGTAAGAAACAAGATTATACTTATGACGTGCCTGAGAATGCTATCCATGTTTCAATGCATCACGAAGACAAGAGTTCTGACACACTCAATATTGGTAATGGAAACGGCAAAGTCACTTTACGCTGGGATAAAGCTGCAAGAAAAGCTCATGTTCATGCTTGGGTCAATGGTGCTCTTGGCCGCCCAAATGAAGTGAGATGGACAGTTCACTGTTGGTGCAAAGCTTGAACTTCAGTTTGTTTATATCAACAATTGATGTGAAATTCAACCTTACTGTCTCGTGACCATATTCAAATCGGCCTGATTATAAATGAACTAGATATATCATTGCAATATAAATGTTTTGGTTACTTCAATTTACATTTAATATAACCACGGTCGGAACAATTTAGAACTAATTTATACAGACTATAGTCCATAGACCATAGTCTATTTACTCTTCATTGCTACGAGAAAATATAACTTAGTCATGATCATGTGACGAGATTAATTATTTACAGCTAAAATACATGCTGAGTAACATGCATGACCTTCCATTTCCGCTTGTGCGGCTTGTTGTCATTTTTACTCGGTTAGGTGGAAAACGCGGACATGCGGACACGCGGACACGTAAGTCAAGTGGAAAACGCGGACATGCGGACACGAAATTTACTAAACTTCAAAAAATCTATTACGACAATAATTAATAATTTTTCGCGTGATATTGAAAGTTATCAATGCCAAGGTTGTGTTTTTCTCTCTCTTTTCTCTGTCTTAGTTTGTAAGCTCTTTAGTGTATTTCGCTTCTTTTTTTAGTTACAAAAACAAATCTCGCCATGGGCCATGGCTTTATATGTTCTGCATGTAAAGAAGCTCATTTTCTGCTGGCAGAATTGATGTCATATTTACATTCAGAAAGCTATATCTGCAGGTGTGATGTCATAATTACACAATCAAAACGGAGAATCTTCATTTATTTTTTTATTTCTTTAGACTCTAGCCCCAAAGCCAAAGCATTATTTTATTATTTTTGAATTGCTCGAAAACGGCCAATTATGCCGACTATCCTCGTAATAAGTGTCTATTATGCTTCTGAAGCCCTATTATGCTCGAAATTATGCCGGCATAGTTTACCCAAGCCTAGCCTGTAATCCGCTAAGTTTCAGGTTGTCCGGAACAAGCGGTAGGAAGACATTCTGCCCTTAAAATAGAACCCTTTCAAATGAATTAAATCTTCATTCAGACAAAACTTTCCCTGTAAAATTTGCCAGAATTTTAGTATTGAAGCACACTTACTCGGCTAAGTTGAATGCACTTAATTAAACAAATGAGTTAACTTTCGGTGCTATAAATATAACTCAAGTTATAATAAGTATTTAAGTTTTGTCGCTCTCCAATATCCCTCGCTTCAAGTGTCAAAAAATTCGTTTTGATCATAGTTAATAGAATAGATGGTTTGGAAACTCATTAGAATAACAATATAACTCATTATCTATGTTAGTCAACGTTTATTCATAAATTTGGTCGTTCACCGTCACGTGCGTATTGTATTTTTGCCCAACTAACCAATAGCAATGTCTTAAGAAAGTTACCTATCCGTGACTCGAACAATAGGGTAAATTGGAAATTGCTATTGGCGGATTTGGCAGAAATACATACAATACACACGTGACGGTGAAGGACCAAATTTATGAATAAACGTTGACTAACATTGATAATGAGTTAAATTGTTATTCTAATGAGTTTCCAAACCATCTATTCTATTAACTATGTTTTGATATAGATATATTTCCTGACCTTCGGCATATTTTGACCCACGACCTTTAGCCAAGCTCATTAATTAATTAATCACCTATTGTGAGGAAGGATTAAAAAGGATTAAAGGAGGTGCGAAGTGTCAAAATGGACCGGCATTCTATTCAGGGTGTATAAAAAAAACGCAACCTCGGAATTTCCCAAGAAATCGACATGGTTTTAAAGACAAAAAATTTTAGGCGCCTGGGAATTTAAAATAGCACAACAGTCAAAATTATTGCACACGCGAGTGCATAAAGCAAAATTTATGCATTTATTTAATGCACAACAACAGTATACTATTATGATCTATTAGCAATAGTGATTTCTTAGGAAATTCCGAGGTTGCATCTTTTTAAACACCCTGTATCATAATAATGATTCCGACGAATAAATAGTTGCAAAACTATACCTGCGCGTGCGATCAATTGCACCCCTAGTGTTGATCGGCAATCACAAGTTAGTCATGATCAGCTACAATTTTGCACTGAGAATTTAACCTTGAAGCAGGGAAGTAAAGCATCAAAAGACCTGATAATATATACGTATGTGTATGTATATCAAATTACTCTGTGATTCCTCACTTATAAAATATAACCTAGTATCATTCGTGATGACAATTAAAACATATGTAGTTGAAACTTGAATATATGAAAACGTTTCTTTTCTGAATTGCCGTTGTTTTGTATTTTGTAAAGATTCTGAGTGGATTTTTCAGAATCTTCAATACTGTAAGTAAAATACATGAAAACAGTAAAAGTTCGCGCAACCATCCATTATCAATCTTCAGTCATTATTTCCTATACAATCTCCGTTTTGATTGTATAATTATGACATCACACCTGCAGATATAGCTTTCTGAATGTAAATATGACATCAATTCTGCCAGCAGAAAACGAGCTTCTTTACATGAAGAACATATAAAGCCATGGCCCATGGCGAGATTTGTTTTTGTAACTAAAAAAAGAAGCGAAATACACCAAACGAGCTTACAAACTAAGACAGAGAAAAGAGAGAGAAAAACACAACCTTGGCATTGATAACTTTCAACATCACGCGAAAAATTATTAATTATTGTCGTAACACTATTTTTTGAAGTTTAGTAAATTCGTGTCCGCATGTCCGCGTTTTCCACTTGACTTGCGTGTCCGCATGTCCGCGTGTCCGCATGTCCGCGTTTTCCACTTGACTTGCGTGTCCGCATGTCCGCGTGTCCGCATGTCCGCGTTTTCCACTTAACCTTTTTGCTCTGTTAATACTGTAGCTGTTACCAAATAATAGTGAGCTAGACAAATACAGCGGCAACGTCAGTGAAGGCGTGATCACGCCCATCAACAAGGCGACTATAAATTGTATTCCCTTGAGCATTCTGGTAGGTCTTACTGTAAGTTCAAACCGCGACGTTACTATTAACATCATTTCACGGCTCGTAACCACGCCAACAATTAAAATGTTCAAAGTTCGGGTGTTTTATTTCACTATTTCTATAGTGTTTGTTTAAGAGTATAAGACAAGTATTTTTAAGAGGCAAATAGAGTTTAGTGAATAGTAATATATGCTTTGGTTCGAATACAAAAATGTAAGCAATTTGGTCTTCTACCTTGCCGTTCCCAGTATATATATATATATATATATATATATATATATATATATATATATATATATATATATATATATATATATATATATATATATATATATATAAATATACATATATATATATATGTATATATATATATGTATATATATATATGTATATGTATATATATATGTATATGTATATATATATATATATATGTATATATATATATATATATATATATATATGTATATGTATATATATATATGTATATGTATATATATGTATATATATATATATATATATATATATATATATATATATATATATATATATATATATATATATATATATATATATATATATATATATATATATATATATATATATATATATATATATATATATATATATATAACATATATATATATATATATATATATATATATATATATATATATATATATATATATATATATATATATATATATATATATATATATATATATACTATCACTCTGCGTATTCTATTGTAACAATATGACAAATAATTCTTATGAAACAATGGTTTAACTCTGATTGGCTGGCAACAGTGCAATTTTATCGCAATACAGTGGCAGAAAACGCAACTCATGCAGGGTAAAAAGTAATTCATTGTCAAAGAAGTAGTATGGTAACTTTTGTCTTCCAGTATTTGTAAACTTGTATTAAAGCTTGATATTTTTCGTAAAAAAATAGCTTCAACCAATCAAGTTTGTCTACCAATAATACAATTTTTGTCTATAATGCAATATACAAACACTGAAAACGAGTTCACTACCCGTATGAAAGTCGTATGTTATCCGGTGCCTCGTACCCAGGCGTCTCTTTGTAAGAAAACAGTGATGCGCATATGACGAGTTTACATGAAGTATTGTAGTTGGGAGAGATGGCGAAGGGGCTGATGGGAAGAGTGCACTTGAACTGCGAGACGCCTGGCAGTTCTTGGTCGATTTCTTGCAAGAAAGTCGATTTCTTGCAAGTTGTGCTATTTCGTTGTCGTTTACGATTTTTTTGCTACTTGTTTTTGTTGAATTGACTAATGTTAATATTCTTCTGTCATCCGGGCGTGAATTCATGCTGTTATTCTTGGTATATATGACATATGCTTTACTTAAAGTCCATGGAAATTCCAATATTAACATGTCAACAACCGAAGCGTTGAAGAACTAGACTTGCAGGAACTAGATTTGTAAGCTATAAGATATAACTATATAAAGGTACAGACTATAAAATTGCACTGTTGTAATAAATATTTCAAACTTTACGGCTGTGAACTTTTATTTACTTGGGCTTTTGTTTACATTATGCATTTAATGGAAATTGCCATTGGCACTGTGATTGACCGATTGAGCTTTCAGCTAAAGAAGTTATTAATACAAAAGCAATAGCTGTTATCGTAATTGAATACGTCTGTGCCACGGACCAGCGGTATCTGCATTATTTTAACACCCTTTAGCCTCGTTTTCGTGCGTACTTCCACTGAGATACCGCTGGTTCGCCGCAGCGGCGTATTCAATTACGATAACAGCTATTATATGACTTTCTAATAATTTCTCTGTTACTGTTTTATGCTAAGCAACTGATAGCATTCTATTATTCTCCATGTAATACCGAATGACATATTCGAAATATTCGCACGGTTAACTTGCCATGTTATTTACTCATAATTTTTCACGCATTTTGCATGTCATGGAACATCTACAAATTTATTATTATTTGCCAATGGCGTTCAATTCAACTCTTCATCACAAAGTAAGGTTTTACACGCAGAGTATATGACGAGATGGTAACTTTTTTTATTAAATTCCATGTTTTCCCGCCATGACAGTATACAAGAACTGCCATACAGGCGCTCCCCAGCACGAACCCTTCCCAACAGCCCCTTCGCGCGTCGGCTGCCTACCTGAATACTTCATGTAAGCGCCTGGGTACGAGGCAGTGTTATCCGTATCTATACCCGTGTGTTATACTCGTAAGTACTCGTATATAAGTCGTTAATGTACTCGTATGTAATTCGTGTTACTCGTGTGGTGTTTTAGTCACGATCCTTCTATACAAATTTCCATGTGACGCATATTCAATATAGGCTTCCAATTTTAACAGAGATAGCCTACATAGCATGGGAAGGTTCAACTTGGCTATGGCAATCCGACGAGATTTCGGCTACTATTTGCCAACATCGCGATCAATAAAGCAGTCATTTTCAAACGTTTCGGTGGCATTGTTTTTCAAATCAAGTATCTCTACTACGGCATCTATTAAAACAGTCGGGTAGTTATTAAAGTGGGGTGTAAGACACCAAGCAATATTGTCCAAGATCTAATCTTTTATGTTCATGATATAGATTATTTCCTAAATACATGATTGAACACTCAACGTTTGCCTAAAACTGCCGCATGCAACCTGCTTACAACTCGAGATATGCTGTGTAAATCAAGTACACAAATCATCTATGTTGTCGTAGGTAAGTTGTGTGCTTGATTTACACATGCAGTACATCTCAAGTTGTAAGCATGTTGCATGCGGCAGTTTTAGTAAAACTTGTGCAGTGTTTAAATCGGTCTTTACAAATCTGAAAGCAAATCGTACAGCAGCTTATCTAAAAGAAGTCGATGAAAAGTGCATTATCTTGTACTCGAATTGGCCCTTCGTAGAAATAGATATTTTACCCTATATATTATCTGGCCTGCACTATAGCGTGGTTCACATTAGCATTTTGTCGGCGATTTTGTGTTTCTAGCGGATGCAACTGAGTGAATGACCATCGTACACCTTCATACACCATCTGACAACCATCTGACACACTTCGACCATCATACTCCATCTGTACTATCTTCACCATCTCACAGCGCTTCCCTGTATAACCACCAACCTACACCATCCTACACCATCTGACACATTTCGACCATCATACACCATCTGTACCATCATCGCCATATGACACACCTTCCCTGTATAAACACCCTACACCATCGGACAACCATCTGACACACTTCGACCATCATACAACATCTGTATCATCTTCACCACCTGACAACCCTTCCCTGTACAACCACCTACACCATAATAACCATCTGATACACTTCGACCATCATACACCATCATACCCACTTCGACCATATATCATACACTATTTGTACCATCATACACCATCTGACGACCATCTGACACACTTCGACCATCATACACAATCATACACCATCTTCACCATCGGATATTACTCCAACAATCACCGTATGTAAACATTTGCATTTGGCACTGCGAATCAAGCATAAAATTGTTCGAAATTAATCGTTATGACATAATGTATAATACGGCAGCGGTGAATACTGTTACAATACATTTTTTCCAAAATTTATTGATGATTATACACAAAAAAAAATATTCTATAGAAAAAGATTACTATGTGCACTTGATACGATACAAATTTTTATCAGCTAATCATAGATCGTAACTTTCACCGTCCATTAAGAAACGTCACAAACTATAAGAGTGGAAGGCTTATAAATTTGAATAAATACTTGGATTACATTATCGGCCTATTAATTAAAGCTTCATGAAATAAGATAAGAAATTTTGACTAACAAACTAAAAATATAAGTTCAAACCACAAATCCATAATGATAAACCTATTGTGCACTAAAATGAGCATATAGCCTAAAAGGGCAGGGATTGATATTGAATCTACCCAGACTAGTTAATACAATTGCTACAGCGCATCGTCTTTACAAAACTCGTGCATGCTTGGTTTTTTAAATCCCATTCGAAACGTCAGAAAGACACTAGCTAACTTGCCGACAAAGAGCTTTCGCTCGAAACGTCGAAGTTCTGTTTGTATTTCTCAAGTATAGTTGTATCTCTCGCAATCCGCAGTTATTTTAAAACCACAGTATTACCTATACTGATACATAATATTTTGCTTTTTTGCCTATGAGAGGTTTTGTCTCGTCCTTCTCTATTGTTAGAGCGCAGGTGGTCACAATAATCCCTGATGTGTTTTTGGATTGTCCCCCTGCATTTTCTGGGTTGGATGCACGTGATGTCTGTTCACTTGCTGGGTTTGATGCAGGTGATGTCTGTTCACTTGCTGGGGTGGATGCGAGTGATGTTTGTTCACTTGCTGGGTTGGATGAAGGTGATGTTTGTTCACTTGCTTGGTTGGAAGCAGGTAATGTCTGTTCACTTGCTTGGTTGGATGCAGGTGATGTCTGTTCACTTGCTGGGGTGGGTTCGTCTGTGTCATTTTTCAATTTTGAACATGGCTCAGAAAAGAGGTCTCTATCACCATGAAACAGCTTTTGCCAAAAGAAAAAAAGCATCCTCGAAATAAACGACACAACCAAACCAAGGGTTAAAACAATAATCGCCTTCACTAGCAAAGATGCGTCTGGAAACTTCTCTTCGATTAGTGGTGCCAGCTGATGTGCTACCTGAAGCGCGACCAAGAACCATATCACGGCTACTTCGAAAAAATATCCAAGCAAGGAAATCCAGTAAAAAAAGAAAAGCTTTTTTTTAGCAGAACAACCGCAATCATAACGAATGTCACAGTCACATTCTTTAGGTGGCCACTTTACACGCGGCGTGTAATTAAACCAGAAAATAACGAAGACCATTACGCCTGGCCAAAAACACCGAAGAATTAAGTGTGCCTGACGCACACCAGGAGGTGCTAAGGACACTTGATAACCGTTACATCCTGTTGCTACTGCAGATAATATTAATAAAGAAATAAACGATCCCTTCTTCCACACTTTCTTTGCTTTCGTAATTTTAAAATCCAACAAATTTTTTCCCTTATGTTTGTATACGATAAGGGAAACGAAACCTGCAGATACAACTAAAAGAACAAACCAGACAACTGCCCAAGATGTTGGGTCCGGGGATAAGGTCCCAGTTTGATGACAATCGGCAAATGAAGTGATTTTACGAATGACACATTTCTTGTTGTCAATGGCATAAAGGATAAGTGACAGGAATCGGATAAAGCTGATGACCACCTTAAAATAGATGCGTAATTTAGCATAAAGTTTAGCATTGGACATTAGATAAACATATACATATCATAAAATATTCTCAGTATATATAATATATACTTGACTACTCGCGGTTAGAGTTCTGTACCCAAAGTGATAATCACTCTGCGTATTCTATTGTAATAATATGACTAATAGATCTCTGGTTGGCTAACAACAGTGCAATTTTATGGTAATACAGTGCCAGAAAACGCAAATCATACAGTGTAAAAAAGTAATTTGGTGTCAAAAAAGTGTAGTATGGTAATTTTTGTCTTCCAGCATTTGTAAACTTGTACAAAGTCGTTGCGCCCTTGTACGATTTACGCCGGATTTACATACACTGTAAATTTCAAGGAGTTGAATCAACTCAAAAAGTTTTATTCTGTAACCAAAAACGGTCTAAAACGATTACAGAATAACACCTTTGGAGTTCATTAGACTCCTTGAAATTTACAGTGTATGGGTGGTAAACTCGTTTTCTTACACTTCTGCTTTATTATCTAATCTCTATTAGCTTTAAATATGGATTCTGATGAATCAGACACTGCAGGAAAGGTAAATTCATTTTAAATAGAATGACAAGTAGTATATTTTCATTTCAGTGAATTAGTTTTATTAATTTTATTAATATTCTACTGTATTTCTTGCAAAGCGGTAAAACATTTATATTTTTATAAATTATCGTTGATTGTGAGCGTTGTATTTGCTTCGTTTTCATAGCAAAGCAGTATGTCGAGAGTGAAATTGGATGGCAAAAATCAGAAGTTTTTGCAAAATCTTCACTTTGATCTCCGCGCACACTGGTTCACACACAATAACATTCAGGGGACTGTATTCTATCGATTTATTTCATTGGAAAGATTATCTATGTACAACACAATTTTAGACTTCCTAGTTTCGCTACGATGTGATCACAATTGAATTTACATATTAGCCTCAATCAATAATGGTATTAAATTACAATGATTCACTATGACATATTTTAAGCAATACTATATACATATATTTACATTAAGAATAGCAGAAGCAACTGCTGTGCGGAAAACTGGCGGGGCTGCGCTGGGAACTTACAACACCCCATCCATCTTGATTCATAAAGGATTCATCTATGAATCAAGCATCGCCCTTGTGTTCGCTTTGGAAATAACAGCAGCAGTTCGTCTAATTGGACGCTGATGCAAATCATGCAAGGAACCTTCTGACTCAGCTGAAGGGGAATTTCCTTCCTTTTCTTTCCCACCTGGTCGAGCTTGAATCTCTAACGGGTAAAGTTTCTGGACCGGTCTTTTCAGGTAAACTGGTCTACCCTTCCCTGCAACTCTTACCTTGGCCCTACTTGTTTTCTTTCTCCCTACCTATAATTAGTTCTTCTACTTTCGCTAATTTCCAATTAACTCGATTCTCCCCCTCTCCATACACTGTCACTACATCTCCCTTCTTCACACTTTTTCTCGCATTCCCACTCCTACATTTATGAAATTCTCTCAACCCTGTCAGATACTCATTTGCCACCTCTTCCAGAAATATTGTAATTTCAACGTAATATACTTAAATCTTTCTCCACCGCTACGTTTCTCTTTAGCTACTTCCCTCGGTGGTATGAACTTAATAGCTCTACCATAATGAATTAGGTGTAATGGTGTCAAAACCTCTCCTTCACACTCTTCATACTCATCTGTTAATGGTCTAGCACTTAATGTACCCTCTTTCTTTACAAGCACTGTGGTAAATTCATCTACTGTCAATTTGGCATCTCCTAGAACCTTTCTAAGACACTGTTTAACACTCCGAATCATTCTCTCAAAAAATTCTCACCACCAAGGCGCTGTTTCTAAATTAAACCTCCATGTTACTCGTTTAGTTTGCAATTCCGCCTTAACCTTAGGTTAGTCAAACAACCGTCTAACTGCCCTTTCTGCTGCCTTAAACGTTTTGGCATTGTCAGATACTATAAAGCTTGGCATTCCTCTCCTAGCAACAAATCTCCGTTGACTACATAAAAATGTCTCTGCAGACAAATCCCTAACTAGCTCCAAATGTATAGCTCTAATCACACAACAAGAAAACAATGCTATATAAACCTTACTTGTAAATTTTAAGGAGTTGAATCAACTCTAAAAGAGTCATTCTGTCACCGTTTTTCGTGACAGAATAACTCTTTTGGACTTGATTCAACTCCTTAAAATTTACAGTGTGGACATTTTGCACAACACTTTACAAACAATAGACCTGCAAAATCTATTCCCACATTAGAAAAGGGTGCAGCTTCCCTAACTTGAAATTCTGGCAAATCTGCCGTCTGTGCTACACTATATGCTTTTTCCTCTATAATCTCTTACAGGTGACGCATCTACCTAAAATCCGCTTCACCATTTGTCTTTCTTTCACAACCCAATAATTTGTCCTTAATCTTCCCAAGGTTGCCCGTACACCACAATGATGCACTTCATTGTGGCATTTCTGGACAATCAATTCAGTCAGTCTGTGGTCCTTGGGTATAATGATTGGGTGTTTGATATTGAACCCTAACTCAGAATTATGACTAACTGGCAGAATGATTAGGTGTTTGGTATTGAACTCTAACTCAGAAGTTTCTTTTCTTAGTGTTATTTTGGACGAGAATTTAACATGGAAAGCTCATGTGTCTTATATTGCACGTAAAATTTCAAAATCAATTGGAATAATCTATAGGTCAAGTTTTTATTTATTCAAATCTGCCTTGCAGATTTTATATTTTGCATTAGTATATCCGTATCTTCAATATTGCGTTACGATTTGGGGTTCAACATATTCAAGTAATCTTAATCGTATTGTACTGTTGCAAAAACGTGCAGTACGAATTGTCGACAAACAATTTTTCGGTGCTCATACCACTCTTATTTTTTACAAACACAAAATACTGAAATTTGAAAATATTCATTTACTTCATTTGAGTAAATTTATGTATCTATACAAAAAAAAATTATTTCCTGATTGTTTTGAAGGTTTATTTTTTTACGTTAGTCATATTCATAATTATAATACACGAAATGCTAAAACTTTTTACGCCCTCCAATGTAGGACAAATATTCGTCAGTTTTCGGTCAATTATCAGGGTCCTAAATTCTTTAATACGTTGAATCCCGATATACGTAAGCCAACCGAGAGACATGACATCAATTAATCTAGCGTACCTATTAAATATAAAGCCAGCAGCAGCGAACTGCACTCGTTGTAAGCGTATAATAAGTATTCTGGTGACTAGACACGACATCGTTGTAATCAATTTTTGATAGCACCATACACTCCGCGAGTTGCTGCCGAATTTTAAATGGTGCCAAATGTTTCAATTTTCTCAAGACGGATAATGTCGCATAACGACTTAAGAGGCAGTCCGTGTAAAAACCGACCACTCGAATTTCTTAAGATTACAGATTTCCTTCAAACTTTCTGTGTGGAAGAAGTCATTCATAAAATGAACAAAAAGCGTTGACTTTGAAATTGTAGTCAGTTTTAAAGTTTTTTTCGCAATTATTTTCGGACGCGTTCGAAAACAAGTTAAAACGTTAATTACGCAAGTGATATTTGAGCATTTTTATATCTCACAGTTCGTCTCGCGCTTTTATTCTAACTTCTTGAAACTTACATATTTTATTATTTCCTGCCTAGGCATAAACCTAAACTAAAAATTATCCTGATCACTTGAAGCAAACAAAATATTGTGTATTTTTAAAAACGTCTTTCAGGCAGCTGATTAAATATTCGTGTTAGTATGCTGGCGGTAAATTATTTTTTCTCAAAAGTGCAACGGTATCAGGTATCCAATCTGTTGCAGCTATTGAGTATTATGACACATCTACTACAATAAATAATAAAATCTTTGGGCAGTGTGTTTTTCGCCTGACAAGCGCGTCATGAATATAGTCAATTTTCGCTAATTCCTCTAATTATAAGCTATAATTTCTTTTTGTATTTACTTAAATTTTTCGCGTTAAAAACATACAAAACTGTTTACTGTTTCAAATATGGCTGTTTTTTGGATAGAGAGTAAGTTATAAATATGCCAGCAATTATATATGCTTGAAATTTTACGTTTATGGGTATCATTAAATACTACATGCATGGTATATATAAACAAAAATGTATAAGAAAAGTACGGGAAAGGATATGTGTGTGCCAATTTATAGGAATGTCTTGAAGGGCACTTCTTTCTCATTATAGACATAGTGCAGATTTATTTTGCCACTATAAAATGAAACAAATATACATGTTTAATATTTTCATGTTTTTTAAGAGCTGCAATTACATGCTGATCTCGGTTAAGGTCCTGTCACACTATTGCGTATGAGAGAAACGTATGAGTAGCGTAAACCATGCATGTATGTGCATGCATATGTCCGCATACTCGAAACATTTTTAACCATGCTTACCTTGCATGGTTCCCCGATTTTTAAATAGACACCTTTATACGATTTAAGACAGCAACGGCCACAAATACAACTAGAGGGCACTCAGAGACTGCATACCTCCGCCCGTTACTCGGAAGTGAAAGGCAACCTTGGAATTTCCTAAGAAATCCACTTTACAATTCTTAAGCATAAAAGATTTCAGGCCCCCGCGAATTGAAATCGAATTGCTAATAGAACATATTACTGTTGTTGTGCTGTACAGTACTTGTGAAATAAAAACTTATTAAGTGTCATTAAATAAATGCATAAATTTTGCTTTATGCACTCGCGCGTGCAGTAATTTTCACAGTTGTGCTATTTTAAATTCCCAGGCAGCTAAAATCTTTTGTCTTTAAAACAATGTCGATTTCTTGGGAAATTCCGAGGTTGCGTTCTTTTCATACACCCTGTATTGAAGTAATCTAATGTTGTTAGAATTTGAATGGACTGGCACTTTGCTGAACGTAATAATGCGTAACTCCGTAAGCCTTGTTTTAGACATTGAATTTCGGTCGCGTGAAATGCAACCAAGACAATAGATAATGAAGGCCGAAGCTTAATGAGGTTTATCATCTCATTATTGTCTTAGCACTGAGTGCA